TTGGCTGAACCTTTCGTTGACGGTACTTGCGAATGCAGCCTGCCTGAATACAATTTCGGGAGGTGGGTGTTTCAGATCATCAGGCGAACGATTTTGGTTTGACAGAATGATGTCGACAGCATCGACGACCTCACCGAGCCCAGGCACCTTTTGGCACATGGTGTTTCCCAAGCTTAAGCGAAAGACCTGAGCATTGAGTGCGCTTCATTCCAGCGTAACCTTGTGCACAGGTTCCGCCGAGATAAGCCCACCCTGCACGGTGGCAACCGGCGTTCCCGGTGCGTGGTGCAGCCCGGGCTGCATAATTGGATGGAAACCTGATGTCAGCCATCTGAAGCACTTGCATTGTGCTCACAAGAGTTTTCCTTTCAACAGCGCTGTCTCTTTCAGGTGATCGCTTCATGAAAGCCGTGGAGTCTCGCCTCCTCGAAGAAGCTTCCTGGGTTTTCGTACGCCCGCCAGCAGCACTTGCTTTCTGCGCTTGATAACAAGGCTCTAAGAGGCAATTATCTCATTAATCTCATCTCCGAGAGGTTTGATACTGCTTGCGCACAAAGGCAAGAAAGAGTCTCTTGCCATGCCCGCCGACATTCCGCAACGACCGAGCTACTCAGGCCAGATAATTTATAAGGAGCTGAGCATGTCCTCCTACAGAGAAAAGCGAGAGTTGTGGTTGTTATTTGAGGCAATGCAGGTGTGCATCCTCTTCGAACAACATCGTCAAATACCCGCTGGGCAGAACTTACACCTCTCACGATGACTGACCGCGGAGCTGTGCGACGCTACAAGGGTGGCCAGAAGGGCCTGGTACTCATTCCCGGATACGGAGGTCGCGGGCGCAGGAGAGGCATCTGCCACCCTCCGCCCGGACCGCCGACCTTCCACTGGACGCTCGGCAAAGGTCCGACATCTTTGGGGTATTACCAGCGGCCTGAACATTTGCGGGGGAACAAGCCCAAAAACAAACAGCCCCTGATGCCGCGACGCCATCGACAAAATCTGTCACAGCTTCAGCCTTAGTTTAAAAAAAGTTCTGTACCTGCATAACAACAGGAACACCAGATCACTGGAGGTCAGAGGAGAGACGGTTGGAGGAGCACCATGAGAAGGAAATGTCGGAGCCAAGCCGACGCGAGTCCGAGTCCTGACCTTACGCAGTCAAAGAGTGTTTTAAGAAACTGTAATCCTTCATGTTGCCTCTGTCGAAAGAGGCCTTGCTGCTTGGTCTCTGTGGCCATGGAGCAGGAGGCGAAGTGACATACCTTAACCGGTGAAGACACGCGAACCACAGTGATTGCTGCTTGTGGGACACCTGCCACTGCAGAGGCAGCGTTTTCGGCGGCGGTGCTTCTTATCTTACCTAGCTTAGCGAACATACATGTCGCACAAGCGCAGACTCAGATGCAAAGTATATGTTCACTAGAGCACTGCACTGCTCGTGACTCTAAGGACATTCTCAGAAGACACAGAGCTCCAGCCGGCAATGCGAACATGGTGTGTCTTGACTGCGCATCACGACTCGTAACTCTTTACAGTTGTAGCATTGGCCGCCACGAGTGCACGAGTAATCCCTGCAACGCAAGGCGATCACTTCATGATGCCAATCTGGCACCGCCTCGGCCACGTTGCAGTTTTGACCGACGAAGATTACCCCGAGTTTTACATTGCGTCGCAAAACAATTGGCAAAAGCACACCGCGGATTGCAGTGAGCTCAGATAGGTTGAGCTGTTGAGCTGACCAGCAACTGCCCGTGTTGTTGCGACACAATGTGAGCTTTGTTGCGAGGGACCAACGTTCACTTCGGCTCCAAGCACACCGCCCGTGGATCGGCGGGACTGTGGTGCGAAGTCGGCTATTGCCGCTCTGCTACAGCTATAAGTTCATTCTGCAGCCTAACCCAGCAAGCCATGCAGCTATGGTCAGGGGACAACTTCGTGAAGTCGCTGACGCAGAAGATCCGTCACCGAAATGCCAGTGAAAAGTGGCTTCGTCAGAGCTGGCCGACATGGCTTCGTGAGCAGGGGCTGTCGCAGTCAGCAGCACCGAAGGACGCTCCTGACGCAGTCATACCGCAGCTTACCGCCCGTGCCTAGTAGCTACCTTTTAGTTTCTGTGCAGGAGCATTCAACGGCCAGGCATGCCTCCACGCGTTTTGCCTCAGGAGAATATGCTTTGCAGTTTGGTCTATGCGATGTTGATTGATCCTTCTGGACATGTGCATAGCTCCTTGTAGGAGCGTGCGCACGAACGGGAAAGAAGCTCAAGCTGAGCTGTGTGCTGGCGAGACTGTGTGAGGTTGAAGGGATGTGGGCTGGAGGTTGGGTAGTGGCGTTGGTGGGAAGCTGCAACGGTTTCTGACAAAGCCAAGGTGATGCACACAATGACCGTCACTTCCATGACTGCTGTTTGGTGGATGCGCTGCGAGCTCTCGGCCACAAAGTGTCATACACGCGAGATGGACCTTTCAAGGTTCGAGATGGCAACGCCTGGCTCGAGCCATCTGGGCAACTCGACGACCGATTGAAATGGTGTGAATACCTCAATAGTTGTGCTGTCCTTGCGTTGAAGCACGTGTTTTAGTTGGATTTCTATTTTGTTGTGTGAGAACGTCTCCATGCAGCTGAAGCTACAAGGCACAGCATGCTGCCGGCAACATGGACGCAGTTCCTCCAGGAACCGGGAAAGTATGTCCTGGCCTACAACCATCATTTCGTTGCGGCCAGGACTGATGAGGATGGTGCAACGTATGTGAATTTCAGTAACAGAACCCACATGTGGCATCGATTTTTCATCGGACAGACTGCAACGGGACATGCGTTTGAGCAGTTTCTTCCGGGTTCTTATCTGGTTGCCTGCCCTGCTGCGTTCGATCTCGTCTGCAAAGTCTCGACCATCAACCAGGATCCTGCTTCGTCTTTGACAGTAGACATTAATGACACGATGGAGTACTCCGGAGGCAAGACGTTGCTCACGTCGGCTCAGGATGTGGTTCACTTTATGCAAACAGCGGCGTGGGAGACTGAGTCGTTGCATCAGCCACAGCCCACGCGGGCCATGCTGTTAGCCGGGCAACCTCTCGCGAACTTCATTCAGCTGGTTGAGCAGGAAGAGAGGGCTCTTGAGTCTGATTCGGACGATGGCTTCTGGGACATTCGCCCTGATTGGTACGATCGCTGGCAGAGAATGCGCCTCCGACGAACGGAGGAGTACACGGGCGGAGCCTTGCCATTGGAGGTCTTGGGCTCTTTGCCTTCCTACTTCTTCTCCTACCAATATCTGCAGGCCTTGGCAACAGCGTCAAAAACGATGCATGCCGCAGTACAAAATCACGACCAATGGAAGGATCGAGTGATCCCTCTGAACAACGCTGAGTTCCATGATGTTCCTACGCTTCGAGCTATGAGTGATATGTACAGCGCAGCACGTGCCACTATCGTGAACGTACGACAGCTTGCCATGTTTATCACTGTGCCCGGCAATGCCTATGTGGAATGGAGCGCTATTGGTGTGCGGCCACAACCAGGCTCAGGGCCGGGCAGCCTTATGGGTGGTTTTCATTCCTCGCAGCCGCTCATGGGAGGTGCTGCTTTTGACCTGAGCCTGCCTTCAAAAGCTATCGGAGTATACATTGGTGTTCACGAACACCACGGTACCCGGCGCTCCTATTGTCGCATCGACAATCTGTTTAAAGAGAGCTGTACTTTCTCCTTCGGTTTGACTGGATCTCCTCCACAGCCGCACTTCAAGAGAAACAGGCCAGAGATTCTTCCCAATGTGCCAGTCCGGTATCGTTTGCGATGGAACGAAAGAATCTTTTCCCTTTCCATGAATGGAGAGGGAGTTTCAACTGCTCGGCTTCGTGATCATGTTCCAGACACCGCACCTTGCCTTTCCAAGCTTTTCATTTGGATTTTTACAAGGCCAGGGCCAGAAAATGAAGCAGCTTGGCTTCAGGAACTACCATCTCTCATCCAACTGAACGCACGGCTCGAGTGTCCTGTTTGTAATCATTCTGGTACATTGATGCAACCACGGTGGTCTGTGTGTCCTGAGTGTTGTACCTGGATCTGCTCGCGCCATGTCGGAACGACTCCGTGGCGAAACTGCCTTCATTGCGGCGGTCACTTCTCAGACTATATGGGTGGCTCTTCGTCGGGATGCGACATCGTCGACGACATTGGTTTTGGTCCAGCCACCAACCCAATGCCTTATGTCGCTGCAACCAATTTTCACCGGGCCACCCTGCTTGGCTGTGCGACACACTCGCGTGACAAGCCCTCTCAAGTAGTGTTGGAGCTGCTTCGCAGGCATGCAGAACTTTTCCGCGTGAATCCAGCAGCACTGCTTTTCTTACCGGATCCAACGCAACGTACTGTCATGAGTAAGCGCAGATGGGAGAAGCTTCTGTATCGTGGACGAGTGATTGTTGATTTCCTGGAACAGGAGATGGACTACATGCTCTTCATGTACTTACATGCGGAAACAAGTCAATGTTCCAGCGTGGGTGTACTGCTTCAAGATTTGCCTCACCCACTGACGTGCTCGCCTGAGGAGGCACAAGGGTGGCGCCGCAAGGCTCTGAGGATCGCCCTTCGCGTACATCTGACCTTAGCAGGGCAGGAGCGTGATCGTTCTGATGCGTGGCAAGAGCAAAGTGGTGGCAGTTCGCAGGAAGGGTTAGAAGGGTCATTCTTTGCTGCTGGCTGGACGGACCCACTGCCACAAATCGTTGGAAGATCACTTGGAATGTTATCGTCCAGTGGTCCAATTTTCGTCATGACGAGCAAGCCAGAGCAGGACAGTCCCGACCGGGTTCTTCCATGCACCCCGCTGCGAGAGGCCAACAAAGTGGAGATGGATGCACGCCTGAGCTTCCAGACAGAAGGGCACAGATACTTCTGCGACGGTAATCCGGTCAGCATCAGTGCTTCCTGGCCGCATTGGAGCTTCTGTCAAGGCGAGTGGTTTTTCTTCCTAAGGAATAGTCTTATCTGTAAAAGTGAAGCATGAGCAACACTGTCTCGGTGAGGTAACGGGTCTCATACACCAATTCTCGGAGGAGTTTGATGCGGACGCCGCACTAATCAAGATGAAATGTGGCACCAGATGGCCGCGGCCGGAGTACATCCGACCAGATATTAACCGAGATGCGCTGCTGCTTCTCCTTCAGAGAGCTGACTGCCCGGAAACACAAGGTCTTGCGAAGTTGCTTCAAGATTCTACTCCCGATGCTTCAGACCTATGTGCAGACTTGCTACGAGCGCAGAACGGCCTAGCGGAGGTTTGGACAGAAATCCTAAGCTTGGTCACGATGTCTGACCAGGAAATCCTCGACTACTGGCAGACGAAGCGAGACTGCGCAGCAAAGGCTGGCACCTGGATGCACATCTTGTTCGAACACATGCTCAATGGCTTTCATGTCGTGCCTAAGTCCATGTCCCGAGAACTGTCCATGGCAGTCAACTTCTTGAAAAAGTACAAGCATTGCGTTGCCTACAGGACAGAGTGGACAGTCTATGCCAAGGAAGAGGATGTTGCAGGTTCCATAGACTTCGTTCTGCAAGATCCTGAAGATGATGGCTTGATCTTGATCGATTGGAAGAGAAGCGAAAAGCTAGCGTCAAAGTATGCTTCCCCGAACTGCATGAAGCATCCCCTCGGCGAGTTGCAAGATGCTCAAGGCCAACACTATCGTCTACAGCTCAACATGTACAAATGGATTCTAGAGAATCACTACTCCGTCAAGGTGAAGGAAATGGTTGTGTTCTGCGCACACCCGCAGTTTTTGCCGGATGGTTTCACGGACATTGTGCCGAACATGCAAGATCTCGTCGATGCAGTTATGGAGAAGAGACGCAATGATCTCAGCAACGAAGCCGCAGCGGGTGTCGACGGCTCAGCTGCAGTGGACAGCCAATCTGCTTTGGCAATGGCCGTCGAGTTTGACGTGACGACATCTCAGCCTGCTGCTGAAGAAGCCATGCCCGTGGTCCTGTTCGATGCTCACGAAGGGACCAAGAAACGAAGACAAACAGAGGCTGCGCAGCAAACGGCAACATTATTCCGCGCTCATTTCCACAAAGCAGCTGATGCGAGCCGTGCCTTCATGGAAGGCTTGCCGGGGGTGGAGCCCGGGTCGGCGCCGCGAACAATTCTACAACATACGAACCAGCTGTTCCAGTATGTTCGTTCCCTGCAGGCAGGATGGCCGGATCAAATGGTCCGTCTCGCTGCTGCAGCTCTGACGGTTTACCGCACAAGATACACAGACCTTTTCATTCGGGATCACGTCGCTCTCCTGTGGGTGATGGAAGGAGGGCATTTCCTGAGATCGCACGGAGGTGTCTGCTACTTGTACCACGAGCGCGGTGCCTTCGAAGCATTGTCGGGTGTTCCGCCTGAGTCTACCTTTACCCGTATCAAGCCGTTCCTGCTCGCCTTGGAAGGTATCTTCAGACTGCTACCCTCGGACACGGAGAGGACTGACGGTGCAGTCATAGGTGGGATCGACGCATGTCTGCGTGAGTTCAACAACATCCCAGAGTACATCAACGAATGCATGGACAGCTCCGTGCTCTCTCTGCACTCTGGTCGCAGCAGAGGTGGTCGTGAGCGTCAAGAGGCTGATGGGCAAAGGCCACACGGCAGCGGGTGGCCCCTGGCCATTGCTGAGATGATCTCCAAGATTAGCGGACCTATGCAGAAAGGTCTACTCGAAGAAAGGTCTTTGCTGCGTCTGGTCGTTGAATGGTGCGACACTCCGTCGGAACGTGAGGCTGGCTGTGCCTTTGCAGACTGCTGCATTCTGTACGATCGTGGCCCGAACGAACTCTGCACTTTCGCTTTACCTTCGCCTGCAAACAATCTCTACATGCGGATACCGCATCCCCTTCGCGATCCTGTGCTCGAAGGTGCACGCAGTCGTCTCGAGAAGTTCTACGAACAAACCTTTTGGTGCAACTCGGAGTTCTTTCAATGTTGTCAGGCAGCCATCGCCCTCGCCAAGCGTGGGGAGAACATTGACAGATGCTTTATTGGGGAAAGTGGCGGAGGTGCCGGACAAGGTCTATACAGCAGTCATCTGGCCGCCGTGTACAGACACAACCATGCCTTCATTGACCCGAACCTATGGCATAATGAAGATGAACTTCGAAAGCAGTTGGAGCAGTTTTCTTCTGCCTGCATTATCACTGCACAAGAGAAGCCAGAGAGCAATCGTCCCTTTCGAGAAGATCTCTACAAAAAGATGGTGAGCGCAGATGACCTGGCTGCACGCAAGCCATATGGTTACGTCACACGAATGTTGCGGGTAGTTGGCTGGAAGCGCATCGAGACGAATGATCTCATGACATTCAAGAATATCTCCGAGGCGAATTTCAACTCCATATTCAGAAGAAGCTTGGTTTGGATTCCACTAGCAGTCTTCGTCGATGCCGATTACTTGGAGAAAGAATACCCCGACGCTCACAAGGATGGCATCTTCCCGAAGGATCCTACCCTGCGTGCTTTCCTAGAAAGCGGTCCAGCCATCGCTGCTTCTTTACAGCACCAGCTTGGGTTTGAACTCACGCAGTCTCGAGAGAATTGTAGACGACTCATCGAGACATATGCACAGGCAGGTCTGACAGAACAGAAGATCAGGAAAGCTTGCGGACTTCCTGAGAGAGCTGCATCGGAAAAGCCTGCTGCGCTGGCCCAGGCAGAGATCGCAGCGACAAGCCGCGCCGAGGAAGACGACGACCTTCACTCAGATCTGAGTAAGGCAGTGGACTCCATGGTGACAGTCGCCATGGAGAATCGGAACCCCAAAATGCTCATCAGCAAATTTTCCCTGGCATGGTGGACGCGATATGGCGCAGGAAAGGCAGCCGTATCCACCGACAAAGCGCAGAATGTATGGAAAGAGTTGCAAGACAAGCGTTTCATCATGGAAATCAAGAGCCTGAGCGGATACAGCAAAGAAGGTGGCCAATTCATCCCCAGAATCTTTGTCAAGGAGGCTCTCGTGAAGCTTGGAGATCTTGTAGTTCCGTCGGAAGCAACATCGCTGACGGAGTGTTTGGAGGCAGCAACTTTCTACGAAGCCTTATGTAGTGCAGCTACACGCGAAGCCAACGTGGAGGTTCTGTCGCAGGCCTACAATACCTTCTTGCTGCGACTGACAAAAAAGAAAGGAAAAAAATCCCTTGAGGAAACGATTGCCATCGCCGCTTGGAGTGAGCGACAGCAGAAGCTGCGAGACGAGGAGGATTCGGCAATTGCGCTGCTGGAGCACTTGGAGGGTCTGGCTGGTCTCACCGTGCGGTCGCAGAGTTGCAACGCTGCAAAACGCAGGCGAAAGAAGGGTCCATCGACTCCAACGGCTTCGTCCTCGGCCAAGGACTCGAGGGCAGCAGCCTCGCATGATGCAACTGACAGGAACCCTTTCCATGAGATGCGAGAAATTTCCATGCAAGTCAGTTACGAGACGAAACTTGGCCAACTTCTACGAACCAGGAAGTACGCCTGCGGATTTGCAACGCAGAAGACGCTTGGCTTGGCATGCGCAGCTTTCATCATATAAGCAGTAAGCAAGTGTACTGAACTACGCAGCTTCTTCATTTTTTACACCTAGATTCGGACGATGAGTGTGTGCTCAGGGTGTCCAGTCTTTGGCAAAAGTGGGTCGTTCCAGACACCGTGGATCTGGACATTGAGAACTGCTGTTTCGTGCTGATGCTACAGATAATGGACCGCTTATCTCCGACGCACCCAAGTTGGAAGAGCGTTCGTTGCACCCTCGAGCAGTGTGCGAAGGAACGGAATGCCATCATTGCAGAGCAACTCAAGATGTGTCAGAAGGACGGGAAGAGTCTAATGATCAAGGTATTCAATGGCGGGACTCCGCCGCCTTCGTTAGTTGGGAACGAGTTCCTCTTCAAATTACAGAAGGCTTCGCTGTTCTGTCGATGGACAGCCGTGACCTTGTTGCCGGAGGTGTATGAAAGATGCATGCAAGATCAATCAAGAGAACATCCTGATGCGTCGTGCTTGTTCTATTTGTGGAGCGCAGTGGAAGATATTGTTCTGGATGCTTGGACAAATTTTGTTCTCCGGCAAAAGCCGAAGCACATCAGCCTTCACTTTGATGGTATCAGGGTGTCAAGAGCTGTCGTGGGGGAGGATGTAGAAGGCTTCTGCAGAGTCTGCACTGCCCATATTCAAGAGATAACTGGGTACAAAGTTGAGATCAGACCCAAGAGCAACCCTGATCTCTTGCAAGACTTGCGTTTGTCAAGCAGAAGCCGAACGTTGCGAGGCCTCCTGCCCGCTCCACTTCAGCAAGATGGCAACTGCATACCAGCCGCACTGCATAATCTTGGCTTCGTAGCGGAGGTCAATGCTTTTCTCGAGGACAAGGAAAGTGAAGAGACTCTTTACTTCAGTCGACGAAAGCACCGTACTTATGCTCAGGTACAGAAAGGCACTGGAGTTCACATGACTCCTGTCATCCTGCCACTGGACACGAGCTCTGCAGAGATCGAAGGCAAGTATGTTGTGCACTGCTCAAAACAAGGTCGTCCTCATGCCATCGCACTAGATGCCGGATCTAACACAGAGTGGGTCGTGGCAGATGGCAATGCCGAATTCATTCTGGACAGGGCATCTTTTCTAAAGGCTGTGTCAAGCGCGTGCGACAAGCGACACATCATGCTTTTCAAAGTAACAGCCTCGCTGCCGCCGAAGGATGAGCATCCCAAATTCACACTCAATGAAACAGAGCGTGAGAGATTCTTGGACCTTCAAGCCGCCGCTGGTGAGGATTTCATTGTGGAGCTGGACATGTTCCCTGAAGAAGCTGAGGATGAGCGCCAGCATGATGAGCCAGTTGGCCAGGATGATGCTGAAAGTCAGGAACAGGAGGAAGATGAGAGTGTTACGACGGTGGGTGATATACTTCTGCAGAATCTGAAGAAAGAAGTAGAAAGCCTTTTAAAGCAACAAACACAACTTCGGCAAGGTGCAGATGGCCGTGTTCGGTGTCCCTTGTGTCCTTTTCGCAGCTGGTCGTGGCACAACCGTTGCAGGGTCAAGAAACATGTTCGCGAGTATCATTCTGCCAGGAAGCAGTATTGTGCTAGTGGTACGAAGCAGCTGAAGATAGTCATCGCTCTTCATGATCAAGACATGTTGCAGGGCACGACGACTACATGTGCGTATTTGCGTCGAAGCGCAGAAGTTCTACGCAGTACCATAGTTCCCTCTCTTTCAATTAACAACAACGATATCGACCGCTACATCCGGCTGGTTTACACTGGCAATGGTCCAGAGTATTGGAATTTAAAAACAACCGTGGATTCGCCGATACGCCGGGTCAGAAATCTGTACTACGACAGGTCTTTTGCCGAAGCGATTTATCGGTACATGCTAGTGAACAATGCCAAGGCAGATGCGGGGCGAGGGTTCAGCAGTTCAGGTAGCCAAGACTAGCACTCGGCTAGGAGAGGTAGGGTTCCTGTGCATTGCAAACGTGATATGTGTCTCGGAGGTTTACGGTCTTGCGAATGCCTTCCACGTCTCCGTTGCGAACGACTTATCGAGCCTTCTTCCTAGTCATGCCAAGGATTGGTGGCCCATGATCGAAGACGTTTTCAATTCGCCACAGATCAGAGACTTGCGGCAAAATCTGCTTCAAGAATGCATTGCGAGTGAGGAGTTCCAATGCATCAGCATTGACGCGACAATGCGCTGCTGCCTTCCCATCATGGGGCAGGCACGCATCAAAAGCTCTGCGGAGGAGCGTGCAGAGGCTGCCTTCACAGAGAACTTGTCGCTGCGTAGGGTCGCTCAGATGAACTGGCTGTCTGTGTGGTTATCTTAGAGTTTTGCACGTTATGACAGGGTATAGCGGCATTGTCGTAGTCGTCTGCTGAGGTTTTCACTGTTCGCGGTCGAACAAGTGCAGTGCTGTTGATGAGGGCCGCCAGATCGGAGGATGCCGAAACAGCATGTCGGCTGCTAGCCGAAGAGTTTCCAGCATCTGCGCTGCAGCAAGTTGCTTTCGTTGCAGCGGACAACCCTTCGCGCAAGCTCTATTCTGAGCTGAAGAGAATTTGCCCAAACTTGCAGGGCATGTCACTCGACACGGTGCACTTGGCTATGGCCTGGGAATACTCTACTTCACGCAAGCGAAGTAAGGGGTCCGCAGCTCTCCGCAGACTACTCAGCAAGTTTGCTGCAGTCGACACCAAGTGCAGCGCCAGATCATTAGGGAGATGCTATGACGGTGGGTTCTGTCAGCCGCTGAATGCTGAAGAGGAACGCCTCAGACGACAGCTGGAGGATAGAACCATGAAGGAAGGTGTGGCCCAGCGAATTCTGGACGAAATCAAGCTTGATGAGCCATTTTATACTCGTGTGGAGTGGATTCGGGCTATAGCGGCTCTCACGAACGTCTATAAGGACGAAGTCCGCAAGGTCTCTCCTGGACCAAATCGTCGCGTCTGGGAGCTATTGCATTCTGCAACCGCTCCAGAGAGAGCCGAGTGGTACATGAATAATGTACGGATTCGCCATGCTCTCTCTGCTCAGCGGCTGCGATTGCTACCCAGCGGAACGACATCAAACGAAGCACTTCACTACGAAATCAACCGATGCTTCAAAGAGACCCAGAAACTGCACCAAGTGAGCTTGCAGCAAAAGCTTGAAATCTTGCAGCTGGGCAAGCTCTTGTCACATAACAGAGCTTTGTACCATCACACAACGAAGCAGGTACAGCATGGGGAGGTGCTTGCTCGGGCAACTCGCCAGTCGATATGGTCTTCGCAAGACTGGAGTATCTGGTGTGCAGAGTTGGTCGATGGTTCGGGTCCCAAAATGAAGGCTGAGCTCCCCAAGGAAGATGCAAGGGCGCGGCAAAGAGCTGCAGTGCGTGACAGTGTGAAAAGGAAGCCTGCAGCCTCCTGTCGGCAAAGCAAAGCGACGACGAGGCGTACGGCCTTCACACTGTCTAGGAAGGATTCCTTAGTTCGCGGCGGCAAAAAGAGTCGCTGCGGCTAGACGCAGCAGGAGGCTTGTCGGGCCCACGGGTATGCTGTCTGTCGAAGTAACTATGGCGTTCTAACAGCTTACACGCAGCCTCCTTTGAGATTATTTGGTTTGGGATACACGCGACCCCGACAAGTTTTCCCCTATTCCTGCAAGAAGCGGCATGCAGATCGAACCGAGTCATGGAAAAAATAAGGCGGTGCCAAATGCTGCGGAGTGAGTCAGTGAGTCCTCTACCATGGACACATTTAGTCAGTGAGTCCGCTACCATGGACACATTGTGTGCTGCTGTCCTCGCTGCTGCTGACAGGACATCCCGACGATGAGCCCTCGGACCGTGAGGATATCGTGCACCAGTTCTTGCCCTGTAATGCATTCAACTGGCTGGACGGGGAGCACATAGAAGGCTCCGATAGCTTGCATGTGCTACAGGGCTCCTGATGGTTTTCGGGCCGTATGTTGGGACGTTTACCTTTCCTTACTAGACCGACCATGTTTTGAGATAAAACTGGTCCAGAGTCTTTGTCAAGATGGAGCTTGTTGTTCTCCAGTTGAAGCAGCGATTGAATGTGCCAGGTGATTCAAGGATGGAGGGAGCAAGCAGTCCAATGCGTCAAAGTGTCGCACGCTCATGTCTTGACATGTTCATTCCTCCGTTTTAGAGGGGCATTGAAGTCGCCCCCGTCGAACCTGCTTACCATGCAGCCGGCTCATTCGCTCAAGCCACGCGAAACGAGTCAACCATGAAAGGTGGTTTCTGAGTTTCCACTCGCACCGCTGGCTAGCATCACAAAGAGTGGCCGTGCCGGCAGCTTCGGGCCATGACAGCAGATGAGCTTAGGTCGGACCATTCCACATACAAGACATCTGTTTCGCATCAGAGTGCGATGTTGAACGTGTTCGTGTTGACGTGGTGGCCAAGCACAGATTCCAGAAACCCTCGGAGTGCAAGCCGGCGTACACACACGGACTTTGGTTGTTGGGATTATTGGGTCTACGTTGTTTTACCCGTATCCTCATGTTACGGAATGTTTGCAACTATCAGCCTCTACCTTTTGAAGTTCGCTACAGGTCCCAGAGGGGTAAAGGAGCTCTTGTCGACATTTCAGGCACCGCGACGTCCCAGATCTGTGTCACCACGCTGAAGAGGTGTCTTCGTTGAATGCTGATTCCAACAGCATGCACCTCTCTCCCGTTTGCTTTTGTACAAGAAGCTGACGAAGTCGAGGATTCGATCGTGCAGGAAAGTGAAGACTGTTTGAAACAACGTGTGTCGTGCACACACGTTCACCGGCTCGAGATGCAGTGGGCTAGTTGCTGGGGCACCTAGCCTGCTAGAGCGATTTGAAGTTGTGCTGCTGTCGAGCTTGTTGTCGCTGCATGACCAACACCGTACCCATTCAGTCGATCAGGGGCTTACTCTAATATCGAACAGGATTTCTGACAAGATGTCATGCTGTGGTCTTGACAGCTAGAAAAAAATGTCATGGTGTGGTCTCGACAGCTTTAGATTGCTGCAAGGCATTCAGTTCGAAGGAGCCAAGCACTATGTCATTACACGTTGCGGCAACATGTCACACTGCTGAAACCTTTTGCATTCAGTCGCCCAAAGACTGACTCAAACTATACACAAAGGTCCATGGCACATAGGGATATAAGGGTTTGGGACTGAGGGTTTAAGGGTTTGGGGGGTGTAGGGTCGAAGGGTTAAGGGTTCAGAACCGCAAGGTTTGGGGTGTATAAGGCTTAAGACAATTGTTAAGGCTGAAGTTTCGGGTTTGGAGGGTTGTAGGTACTTGAGCTTTAAAGCGTAGGGATTAGTAGGTTACGGATTTAGGCTATAGACTAATCCTTTAGTTTGTAGACTAAGCCTTTAGTTCTTGCTACAAAAGAGGCGGGGTTGCTCACCGGGGCCATGTTTTTCGATGTTCCCAGCCCAGGTACCCCTTTGGGATATAGCTTAATCATTCATAATAGGAAGCTCTCGTAACTTCAGGTATACTCCTTGACGACGGCATGTTGGGCTCTCTGGGTTTGCGGCGGAAGAACACGTGGGGCTAATGCGTGTTGCGACTAGGTGGAGTTGCGTGCATTGTAGCACCATGTCGCCCGGACGAAGGATGGAAGTCTGAAGAATTACCAGCTAGGACCACAGCTAGGATGCCCAGTAGTACCCTTATTCCCTTTTGTAGTCCTAGGTTCCTTATAAAGTTACCCAATACCAAAAAGAGAGGCCTTTTTATTCTTAGGTTACTGGGTATCCTAGTACTGTCCCTAATCAGGTTTGGTGCTGACCCCTTGGGCTTCAGGGTTCAAGGCTCCGAGGCTTATTGCTCGGCTCCCTGAAGACCCCAAAACTCCGAAACTCGAAGGCCTGCATATGTGGTAAAACCCTAGACATCTAAGGACTCATCTATTCAGGATTTTGGGACCAAAGACCATACTATGTAAGGCTTTTGGGCTAACTTGATGCGCAGGGAAAAGGTGTTAGACCAAATGTACGGCTGCCTGCGGGCTGATATTTTGGACATGCGCGCAGGAACCAAACCCTCAAGCCGAAAACTCTACGCCCCAGACCTAAACCCCAAGCCCTAAACCCTAAACTCCAAACCTGAGGCCCCTGAGCCTTATGCAACCCCTAAGCCCTATGAGCAAAAAAATCCTATGAGTCCTCCAGCCCAGTTACCGCCAGGCATGCCGAAAGCGGCGTCTTCCGGTTCAGCTGGTGGCCTTTACGAAGGCCACCATGCCCGGAGGGCTTTTAGGGTCTTAGGGCGTAGGGCTTTAGGGGTTGAGGGGTGTAGGGCTATAGGGTGTAGGGCTTTAGGGGTTTAGGCTAGGGTTTTAGGGCTTTAGGGGTTTAGGGGTTTTGGGGGGTTTTGGGCTTTGGGGGTTTAGGGTTTAGGGTTTTGGGGGCGGTTTGGGCTTTTGGGGTTTTGGGCTTTTGGGCTTTTGGGTTTAGGGGTTTGGGGGCTTAGGGATGCAAGCTTTGGGTGGTTGGGGGTTTTCTTCAAAGGTTGATTTCAGTGCTTCTTAAGCCGAGGAGTCTCTTATGTGATTCTATGAGGGTTTTGGGGCTTGAGCTCTTTGGGGTTTGGGTTTAGGGCTTCAGTGTTTGGGTCCTTCGGGTTTGGGATTTAGGCTTTCGTAATCATTATGCCGGCGTCGGTTCGGCATTTCGAGATGGATGGAAGCTTGGTGGGGACACCCGATCCTGGTCCCCAAAGCCCACAACATCCTATATCCGGAATCTCTAAACCCCGAAAGCTCCAGACCCCTAATCCCGAGACCCTGAACCCTAAAACAACCTAACCCTTCGCACACTCGAGACCCCCAAAGCGCCCACAAAAGCCCGAACGCTAAGAACCGTTAAGCTTTGTCATAGTTGGGTAACATATTACATGTCTATGGGTACTTAAACCCAATAATAAGGAATAAAAATGTATATCTTTGATCCTATCCCAACAATGAACTAGTAAACCATCCGAACAAGCCAAAACAAGCATAAAACAGCACCGCCAAAAAGCTGCAATCTCTCAAGACCTGAAGGCTGAAAGCCCTAAAAAACTCATCAACAAAATCTAATGTAGGAACCTGATTAAGAAACCCTGGCCCTATAACCCCAAAATAGTAGGATTCATATAAGGAGCCCTCATAAAGGCCCAAGGTTTCTTAATCAGGTTCCTACATTAGCCACCTTGGAAGCTCCGGCTGAACAACAAGTCCCATAGCCTAGATAAACCCATCTTAGAGCTCTGCGCGATATCTCAGTAGCAAAGGCACCCCAATCCTTTGTGGGTGCTTCAGTGCTTCGAATCCCAACGGCTACCCTTGTCAGAGTTTAGGGTTCGGGGTTTACAGTTTTGTTCTCCTGATTAGGGGAGACTGGACAACCCTAAACCCTAAAACCTAAACCATCCTAAACCCCTAGAACCCTGAACCATCCTAATTAAAGCCTAAGCCACCCTAAACCTGTTGCCCTTAAGCCCTAGAACCCCGCTGTGCCAGGTGCCTCTGCAACCGGGGGAGACCAAAGCCGTCAACCTCGTCGTAGAGCTGCGAGATCTCGCGGTGCGCCAGGGATTTTGGCGTTGGCGGTACTATAGCTACCACTACTATTTCGGAGATCCTTTTGTATAACTACGGTATAATATACCTTCCCCCAAACCCTATTCGTTATAAAAGGCCCCTATGTTATGCTGTGCTTGTATGTAGGTTCTATTTAACGAAGGTGTTCATTTAGCCTTGGCCAACAGGGCTTGGAAATTATAGGGTGTGGTTGATAAGGTTCTTGAAGTGTTCGCCGGTTTTGTAAAATAGGGTTTTGGCTGGTTTGCGGCTTGTTGAGGTTTTCGGTTTTACAGGACTTCAGGCGTTCAGGCTTTGGGCTGTTGAGGGTAGGGTTTTTCCCTTGGGGTTCCTCGGCTGTAGAACTTATTTGCATACGCCTTGCGCTGTCATCTTGTGCCGTTTCTACTAGTCCTATCACTTTGGCATAGTATCGGCTTAACTGACGTAGCTAAAGTAAGCAAGCCGTGTTACTTGCTCAGCAAGAGCTTGCTATCGCGGCTTCAACTCACCCAAAGGGACCTCCCAACACTAACTTGTACTGCTGCTCTCCTATACCCAGAGGCCCCACAGTGGTTCCTTTTTGGGAGAATCCTATAGGATTCTATATATTAACCCCAAAAAGGAACTACTTTGGGGCCTTTGGGAAAGCCGGCACCCTAATGAGCTCCTCGGACCTCTAGGGCTCTAGGGTAAGCTGTTTAGCAAGTGCAAACGGCTCCGCCAGGCATATGACGCCCAGGCACGGCGTTTTCCTCAAGTGCTGCGTGGGTTCTTTTTAGAGGGAAAGCAAAGACCCCAGGTGGGGCATCTACGAGTTAGGAAGTACAGGTCAGGGTTGAAGTTGAAACGTCGAGCATAACGTGCATTGGTTCGGATGTGGCACATAGAACGACGATGTCTCTACTGCACCAGTTGCAAAGCATGGCGCTATAGATCCGCAA